ATTCGATTATTTAATGTCTAATAATTTGTTTAAAAACGACGCGATAAAAAGAAAACGGAAAAAATTGCCAGACATTTAACTTTGCATTAATTGAGTGAAAAAGCTTTATTACATCCATCTCGTGCATGCAATTATAAAAAAAAAAAAAAAAAAAAAATGTAAATACATCTTTCAACCGTTCAGGCGTTTAATTAAAGAAATAATCTAATTTTCCCATGTATAAATATATTGTATATATCCTTAGCGTCTACTTTTTCCAGCACGGCTTAATTGGGTCTGCCACCATATGCGTTATCTAGTCTTATCTAATCAAGATGATAAATCAATATTTGGGCATATTATTAGTGTCTTCAAATAATTCAAAGCAAAAATAAACAAAACCCCTCAAATGCCACGTTCCTTTCTCATATGAGAATTTAATCTGTTCTTTAATTAAAACAGCACTTGATTCAGACACGAGTAGTCATATTTACATATGCAAATACGTATGCAACTAATGTTCGACTGAGATCAAAGGGGAGCAATAATGCATTGAGTACTCGTATCTAAGTTACGTATTTGGTATTAATTCTTGATATAAATGTTAATAGAAATATGATGGAGCATGAAGCGATCCAAATGAAATCTAATATAATAACCGTATTGTGTTTATATTATATTCGATTACATTTATTAGGCCAGTATATCTCGAAACTCATTACTTAGGTAGTGCATATAATGATTTTATTTCTCACATAATAAAATAGTAAAAGATTTGAGAAATTTAAATGCGTGTTTGTGTGTGTTTTAAGCGATATATTCCTATATACGCCGATATAGAAATTCGAAATGAAATTTATATGCATCTGCACGTATAGCAAACACATTAGAAACAACTTTTACTGAGAATAATTATTTTAATTTAAACTTTCCTTTTTAGCATTGAAACTTTTCCTCATCCAGCCTATCTGTCACTCTATCGTTTCAAGTTTTATTTTTGTTGTTGTTGTTATAAAAAGAAGACAAAAAAAAAAAAAGAAAAGAAAAGAAACAGAAACAGAAACAAATTCTAAAAAGTGCAAAAAGCAAAGATAAAAATCTATTTAATTTTCAAAATTTTCATTAATAAATATATAGTGTGTTCTTTTACTCAAATAAACGAAACGCAACAAACAATACATGGAGCGGAGCACATAAAATTTTTGTTTCATAAGCAAATAACAATAACAATAATAACAACAAAAACAACAATAACAAGAACAACAATAACAACAACAAATTTCATAAAAATAAAATTTAAGCCACATTAAAATCAAATTTCTCCTTTTTCTCTGTCTTATTTTTCTTCGTTTTTATTTCGTTTTCTCGTTTGTAAATCTCAGCGTCAACAGTATGCTGAACGAAAACAGTGAGGGCAAGAGAATGTTTGCCTGTAGATAGGTTTGTGCGACTGAATGTGTGGTTTTGTAATACACTATAGTTATTTGCCAGATACATATTCAAAATACAACATATACAGTTAGCATTTTGCATGTGCTCCTATGTGCGATTTTGTGTGCAACCGATTGCGTATTTTGATATGCAAAAACCCATACATGCAGCATCTTATATATTCCTTACATTTAAATGCCATCAAAATCTGTAACTCTGATATGAGTTATAAATATACACATATACATACACGCATACATACACGCACGCACGCATAGAAGCACGCGTACACATACAAATATTCGTATATACATAAACGTTCATACAATAAAACTGAACTGAACTGAACTGAACTGAACTGAACTGAACTGAACTGAACGAACGAACGAACGAACTAACGAACGAACGCATTAACACACAAGTATAAGCATAAGAACAAGCACAAGTAGTAGCGTACAACAAACATAAATATAAATACAAATATATACTGACATGCAATCTGTACAAAAGTCTGACTGCTGCTTTGACTCTGACTTTGCTGTTGTTGTGTTCCGTTGTGTTGTTGTGCTGGGAATTAAAACCAAAACAATTGCCACAATTGCAACAGAATCGTCGTTAATTACACTTTTGCCAAGCAGTGAGAGAGTTCAGTTAAGTAGACACCATAATTCTACTTTAGACATTCATTCCCCAATCCGCTCATCTCCGCCCTTTACCGACTACGATTGTAACTCTGACTGTAGCAAGATTTCATCTATAATTTTTCTTGGCTTACTCCTTTCTCCATTCGCTTGCACTGTCCTCCATTCAAGTTTCCCTTTTCTTTAAGCACAAATAAATGTATATACATACATTACGTATAGACGTATATTTGTACGTATATTTATTTCATACTTTTGCATTCATATGAAAGCTTGAATGCAAAACACATTGTGCGACAGAGAGATAAGAGAACGAGAAAAGGTAAGCAATAGTAGTCGTTCGCATCCCATCAGCCAACAATGAAATGATATGAAATAGGAAAATTCGCTGAACGCACACATGTGATATATGTATGTGTGCGTTTGTATGTGTGGTCTGTGGTGTTGAAAATGTGATAGACTCATTAAAATACAGTGCAAGATAATAAGCATTTTAATTAAATATATTTACAAGAATAAGTTTATCAAAACAAGAGTTACATTGCTTTCCTTCTCTGCTCCATTCTCATCCCATTTCCTCTCATATCTACGAGAATGAAAGTATAATATGTGTATGTACGTATAAAAATATGCAATGCATATGTGCGTGTGTTTGTCTGTTCGTGTGTCTATAACTCTAATTATCCTTAGGGTAAAAGACAAACTCTTTGAATAAATGTGAGTGCGTTGTCTTTTCATGGCATGCAGAGACAGAAACAGAAAGAGAAAGACAGTAAGAGAGACAGAGAGAGAGAGAGAGAGAGAGAGGGAGAAAGAGCGAGAATATTATAAATAAAAAAAAGACGCTACTCCGATGAAAACTGGCTTAAGTTAATGTTTCAAATTTTAACAATGTACGGAATCGTTGGCCAACAGCAAAATTTCGTTCGCTTAACGCACGCAGAGTGAAAAAGCTATCCGCAGAAACAAGAACCAAATAAATTAACCACAAATATTGAAGAATCTTCTCCGCATTCTAGGCAAAAAGGATAATTTTTAAGCAAAGAAAAACTAAACAGAATGCTTAGATGTATTTTATGCAGAATAATCAGTTAATACTCGATTAGATGTATTTCTCTTTCATAAGATAAAACAAAAAAACTCTAAACTGATTTATGGGAAACACAAAAGAGGGAACTGTAATATAGATAAAGAGATGAACACAAAAATGGCATAGCCCTGAATATGCTAGAATACCATTAGAGATACGTAACACATCAACATCAACAACAATTTTCGGAATCAGCACATAGATGTCTTTGGTAGGGCCGTCTCGTTCAAATGACGTTCATTTGCCTATTAGCTAAAGACGCTTGAGTGACATTACTTTTGTCTGTGTATTAATTAAACATTAATTTTTGATGGGGAAAAGATGTCGCTCAAAGTCAGCCTTGGCTTGAAAAGTGTAATGGCAACAATTTGTCGGTAGTTGTAAAGTTGCAAGACATAGCTGACAACCTAAAGATATTAAAGAAACAGTGCACTCACTGTTTTGCTTGGAAATTTGCTCATGAGAAAATTGTCTTCCAAATTCAAATCGCGTTTACCCATAGTGGAATGAGAACGTAGGTGTTACTGATTCGCAGTACTATTTGTAGCTATTTAATCTTGCATGCGGTATACGCTAATGGACGAAACGTTTGCCATTACTCTTTTAAGCGAAATTCACTTTTCGCTGAATGGAAAGGACTTGCTTTTGCACACTCGTGCAAAGCGACCGAAACATAATTGTCGGCCGATAAGGTTATGACCTCCTTAGCTTTGCGAACCCGTTACATTTTATTCGTAGACTACATTGGAACAGGACGACCCTTGGATTGTATTGAAAAGGAACGTTGGTGAAAGGTGGTCCGTATGGTGGACAAGAAGATATTCTTTCACTAATATAACGCACTGTGGCGTAAATTAGAGATCACAAGGTAAAAATTGCATCCAGTGAATATTCAACTATTGCCTTTCAAGGAAGCCAGTTCAAGACATGGTCTCAACTAACAAATATCTGGCTGCGTATTTTGAAAGGAGGTTTCAGCAATTGAAACGTAGTTTGAGAATCTTATATGAAATGGCATCGACATGAGACATAGAGAAGCGTGGAACCGATCGCTTTTACGAAAACTTTCTCTGGGTAGTCTCGGGACTTATTGATCGATATATTATGATGAACACTCAAAATTTTATGCACGATGAATATACAGATTTTTTACAGATTTTGAAGACTTTCCCATAAACACTTTCTTTTCTTGTTTTTGTTTTGATGTTTAGTACACTGATATATATATATATATATATATATGTATATATATATATTGTATATAAAGCAAGCATTCAATAATTAATTTCAAATGACAAAAGGTGCCCCATTCAATATATTGTATATTGCATTCCTGAGCTAAATTAGTGCTAGACCTTAATAAACTTAATGAGAAAGATTTACATATGCATAGCAACTCAGAGCAGCTTGATAGCCGTTCACTTATTATTCAGCGATTGCTTGAAATGTTCAGCTTCTTCAGTTAGTTTATGTTATCAACCAATTGTCTACTACTACTACTAATAGTAATGAATTTTTGCTTTATTTATCACAATTAAAAAATGTTCACACTTTTTTATTTCTTCATCTTTTTTCATTAAAAATTTTCATTTATTCTCTTTTAGTATTTATTTAATTTAAAAAAAAAAAATAAAAAATAAAAATTCATTGAAAAAAATTTAAAAAGATATCCACACAACCACACAAGTTTTCTCTATCTATCTCTCTATCCATCCTCTATTTACTTAAAGAAAATAAAAATATTGACTAACGTTAATTTTATGTATTTTTTGTTTGTCTTTTTCTTTTTTTTTTTTTTTTTTCGATTCAACTCTGAATTCTTCTCTCTATTTTTTCTTTTATGCTTTTTCTCTTTGCAGGGGATTCGGTTTCATAACTTTCAGTGATCCAGCTAGTGTAGATAAAGTTTTAGCTCAAGGTACACACGAACTAGATGGTAAAAAGGTAAAACTGTTGCTCTACTACTAAATATTACATATTTATGTACGTATGTGAATTGAAATAGATTTTAATATTGGAAAAATGAAAAGTAAGCGAACACAAAAACTCTTACTCTCATTTTTTCATATTCTCAACAAACATCCGCATATCTTTAAATAAAAATTGCATTTAGTAACGACCGGCTTCATATAACACACCGCCTAAAACATGTTTGTTTTGCCCATCAAGCAGCCAGTACAGTTTGACAGCATCAGTTTTTATGTAAAAAAAAAGAAAAAAAAAAACGGAAAAAAAACAACAAAGTTTTTTAATATACGTACATGCATATGTATCAATTTCGATGTATTTATTCACTTACTGATGTTGTTTCATAATTAGTTGGAGTTTTTTTTATTCGTCCTTTTATTTTTGTTTTTTTTTTTTTTAATTTTTTTTTTTGCGAAAATTCTTTTTTCACGTTTTATTTTTGTAAATTTCTATTTGCTAATGACAAACGCTACAGAAACGTGTTACAAAAACTGTGTTTGTAAACAATTTTAATTACACTTTACCGCTTAACAAGCTCGACAAACAACAAAAGACTCAAACACACGAAGCCAAAATAAATAAAAAAAAAAAAAAAATAAAAAAAAATAGATTTTCATTATGTGCTACCGTTATTTTCTTTTGTGTAAACATTTTTAAAACAAAAACCAATAAAAAAAAACGTTTTTTATTTTTTTTTGTTTTTTTTTTTTTTTTTTTTTTTTTTTTTTTTTTTTTTTTTTTTTTTTTGTTTTATTACCTTCTTTCAGTTTTTTTTTATTTTTTTATTTTTTTTTTTATTTTAGTGACATTTTTTTTAAGTTTATATGCAATATAAGGCGAAGGAGAGGTAAATCAATTTTGTCATTCTTTACTTACGTGATTGGCCATGATAAACTGAGATAAAGTTATTGCAATATTACATACCGTTGCTATCGGTTGAAAATCCTTCGTTTTATCAATATTGCTATGTAATGAAATTTTTTCTACTTTTTTATTCATTTTTCTAAATCGACACAATACTTACTTATTATTTGAAATCAATAACTGATCGGTGCTATTAATAAATTTAATTCATCTCTTTTCCTCATTATTATATTTAAATATATTTTTATATTCGCACGATATTCGGTTGAGCGGCCGAGTAGGCAAATGAACGCAATAGTCGTGGATTCAAATCTCCTTTAAACCTTTATTTTTAGACTTTATTTCACTGGCTCAATTAATTATGATGATAATAATATTTCCCTCGATGCAATTTAAGACTCAGGGTCACAGCAGAGATTAGTAGACAAGAAGCATGGCTACAGAGTCAGTATATCCGAGAGAGGAAATATGAAATAGTCGAAAAGTTAAAGTTTAAAGCTTAAATTAGCCTAAGTGGCTCAATGTGCACAGATTAGAAGCAAGAGCGACGAAAAGCTTAAAAATCTTATCTTGTGTGTTTCGACGATAGTTATATCCATTGAGTAGAAAAAGTATAAGTTCTAGTAAACTTATTCGTTAGTAACGTATAAGTTACCCGAGTAGACAAGTATCGCGCTTAGCAAGTTAGAGTTCGTGAGCTCAAATCTCAGTACGGTAGAGCATACTTGGTCAAAGTTTATTATTGAATGTCACTATATTTCTCGATCGGGAATACACTTCTCTGTCTGATGCCACATCCTATCTCTTCTCCTCCATCACCATGTTTAAGTGATTGGGCAAATACGGAAGTGCGTTGATGCTTAAAGCAGTTTTTTTTCCTTTGATTTGAAATGTAATTCTTTAATGCGATGTTGTCCGGTTTTTGCTTCAAAAGAAGCTTTGGAATGAATTGAGCTGAAAATCTTTATGGCCCAAAAAAGCCGAATATGGTTGGAAGGCGGCACAGCAAATGACCTTTCAAGTCGAACGTACACAAATACCGTTTCCTCTTTTTGGGCCTTCATACCTCTACATTTATCTGGCTAGTATCGTATACGTGTTTACATGTATAAGACACATTTGCTAAATAGCTTGTGAAACAAAAATCGTTGTGTAATAGTCAAGTGATACGAATTGACCCCATCAGCATGATGCCATGTAACACTCGAGCATTGAATTCCTTGTATTACTAATACAAATAAAAAAAAATTCCATATCATTATGTTTTGATAAAGTGAAAATTCTATTCCCGCCAACTGAAAGTACGGTTTCAATTAATTAAAATGATTCCCTTTATTAGTAAAGGCGTTTGTGAACGCTTTCAACTCGATAAACAGATCGTAAAGTTCTCAGTTACGGAATATGATAATATTGTTTGTAATCGTTCTTGCCGATGATGTTCACCGTTATTTATATTGCATTCATAAGCTTGTGAATCATTTTTAGTTAACTAACGGTTTCGTCATATTTTTCCCCTCTTAAATATGTTTATCGCTTGATCATATCAACTTTTTTTAGCTTTTTCCTCTACAGTAGGTTTTTGTTTTTTTCTAAGACCAAGCGCTGTGATCTTGAAGAGTTATAGAAAGTAAGAGGTGGAGAGTGGTAGTGGTTGTGAAAGTTCAGCTTGAAAATGGAGACATCAGGCACGGTAAGAGAGACCATTGCTGGTGGGGTGTTTCAAAGGTTGACAGTATCAACGAGTAGCGATAGGGTGTTATATGATTTGCGTGCAGCTGCAGAATGCGTGGATGGAAAGGCAGAAAGTCTTGGACTTCTGTTAAACGACTTAGTTGGTAACGAAAACTGTACAACACGGCCCACATTACCTCGATACTCGATGGTATTGAAAATTTTGGATCACACTTTCTCCGCCCATGAGCATCTGAACCGTTCGCTGTATACGGTTGGGGGTGTTCAAGCAAAGTTTGGATGCTCCCGCCCACCCATCCATATTATACTCCAATTTTGACCGGATAAGTCGACGTAAGTGATACAGATGTCGGCGGCAGTGAAGTATTCGACTACGTCTTTCCAAAAATCCGAACATATGCTCTGCCTAGAAGATCAAGGGCAGCCGATTCTTATACAATGACACCACAAAAAGGAGAGTTTGTTCATCACTTTTCCTGCGCCTTATGACACAGTTTTGAGTTTTGGCGCCCTTAAGGCTTATGCAATAGTCTGATCCCACTCAGATATCTTTGTGAGGTCACGATGCGTCACGATGTGTCATGCATCATGCAGCATTTTTCTGTATCTCGTTGCTGCATGGTCTCTTACGGAAAGAAAACCGCCTATACACTGTGCTCTCGTTAATGAATATCAGGTAGAGGGAAGGAGAAAGGACAGAACCTTGTGGTATACGTGCATCTAATTTGAATTCGTTTCAGCAACGCCCGTCAATTACTTACGAAGACTTATCGAACGGTTACCTATGAAGCTTTAGAAGATGCCAGTATGGCAGCACTTGTTGAACAGATTGTGCAGTGGTCTGGCGGATACGATGTATTGAGGTTTATCTGCTAAGCAACAAAACTGATTACCGCACCACACGTACCGGCGACATATATATACTTGAGAAATTTGAAATTTCGATATTAATTTGCATTTCATTTTTATTTGTCGGACATACGAAATACATATCCATTAACTATCATCTTATTTGTAATTTCCTACAATCATCTATAAACTGTTTAGATTTAATAGCGTTTTGACTTTGGTGAAGACTACCTGACATAATCAAAAATTTGTTAACATAAAAGATAGTTTGCTGAGATATGAAATTCATTGATATTTCCATTATGTGAATGAACACAAGTTTACATAAAATAAAACAAAAGTTGTTATTGGTTGTAATTTTTACTTTCCTTAATATAAAATTTTGAGCGAATATTTTGTTACATTTTGAACGTAATAAACGTAATCAATTTGTATTACACGATAATGAAGAGTGCTATACCACGGTTTGATGAGGTTAGGTTACAAAAATGTCGTGAGTACGATTATAATTTAAAAAGCGTTCTTGCAACTATTAGCTAAGTGTTTACTAAAATTAAAAAAAAAAAAAAGATTATATTGCTAGTGTTAGCAAAATTCATTTTGTTTGTTTTATTTATTTATTTAAGTTCGCAGCCATAAAGCCATTGCCCAATATGCGTAGTGACATAAGTATAAATCATGTGCATAGAAAGAACTAAAAACTGATCAAATAACTAAAGAAAAAAGAATACACAAATAGTCACCATATTCTGTAGCTAATCTTAGCAAACGACAAGTGTGAGTATCGGGTGAATTCAAGACTTCAAGAATAAGGCCAATTTCCTCCTGTAATCGTTGAAGTAGTCGTCAAAGGGTCTCAAAGTTAGCAGCAACGCATTCCAGAGTCGATCTGGCCGGATTGCAGTTCGATTAAAAGATTCGGCACATGCCGCGGAACGATTTTGTAGAGATAGATTGACAGCCTTAATTTTATGTGGGCGTGGAAAGACAATGGCATAAAAGTATGAGCGAAGAAGCGAGGAGATGTCATCTCTGAGTCTCACATTATACACCAAACGTGTGATGCGGTTGGCCATCAGTTTAAGACTATCTACAAGACGAATAGACATCAGACATCACTTTACTGCTGATAGTTAACATACGGCATAAGTAGAGCGTGTGCCATTGTATGCTTGACTTGAACTGGCAAGTGCAAGTTGACAATTTCTTCCAAATTTATTTAGTAAAGTGATGGCTTCATAAGTAGCGCAATTAAGCTTTAGCATGGCTACCTCCATGACTTTAAGCATTTATTTATTTTCTAAAAGGATTTAGCTTTCTCAATAACTTGATTCATTTATGATCTCTTAATATTCTTAATATTTATTAAGTTCAGTTCAATTAGTGAATGCGTTTATTATGACAGTGCTATAGGATATATGACTCATTTCTATAATGTATGATTTATCAAATTTCACATTAAACGTCATTACTGTTTCCGCTAAGCTTGGTTTTGTATGACCCATAAAGTATTTGATCTCGATTTTTACAATGTGGATGAGGAGTTGAAATTCTGACTATCAATCGTTCAT